AGTGATGTGTCTGGCGGTTCAGCCGGTTCGACCGGGTTCGGGGTTTTCTGTTATTGGGAACTTGATGCAGCAAGGGTACTTGTTTGCGTTTGATTTGGACCGGTCGCGGATCGGGTTCTCGCGTCACGGATGTGCGGTTCGCTGAAACTGAAAAACTAAAAACCGAGAACCGAACCGGGTTTTTGGTTATTATTGGCACGTGTATTTTTTGGGTTTGAGATAATGTGCGAGTTGGGATGTAAATAAGTGAAGGTGTTTGATTTTCGAGGATGTTGACACGAATTCGTTCGCTCGCTCGCGTGAGTGTTGTACGATAATCAAGAACATGAATTGTTTGTACGTCAAGAATCAAGTCATTCACTTTCTCTCAATTTAATTAATTTTCAACATTATTATTGGAAATCTATTAATTTTTGGATTACTATTTAAGTTTACATGGTTATTTAAATTTAAGTAAGCTACTATTTTAGTGTGTTGTCAAATTAATTTTTTAAATTAAGCGTACTTTTCATTAATGAAGTTTCTTAAGTTTACGTATGATTTATTCTGAAAAGAAAAAAAGATTGCGTATGATATATGCTTTTAATAAATAAATAAAAAACAAGATTAGATATTGTTTAATGATTTTTTAATGCTTATAGCAATTTTTTTTAGGCAATTTTTAATGCTGGTGCATTGTGTTCATTAACAAAACATAGTTGAAGGGTTGTGAATCCTCTCAAGTCTAAACTGACCATAATTAGGTTGAATCATAAAGTGTTGATTAATCCTATACCAATTCACTTATAACTGAACTATTAATCTGAAGGTAAAGATATAACTAACAATAATGCACATTATGATATAAAGGATGAACAAACTAAGAGATAAAAATCAATTCGAACTAATAAAAATAAAAGATAATATGAAATTATTATATAAAGATAAAATTAGAAGAAAAAAAAAACAATTAGATTTTTACTTATAACCTCACTCTTATAATCTTAATAAGACTATCTTAAATTCTATACTTTAATAATAACTAATTTAAAGACACAATGTGATTAATCATGTTATTATTATTTTTTTCTACATTTATTGTCTCAATGTAATAACATTGTGCTGGTTGTGTTAGGCGACGAAATAGCACATAGAAAGAAAGAGAGATGCTTGAAATTGAATAAACAAGTATATATTCTATGTCAGACTCACACGTGTATACAGAAATCTAAAGTGAAGAAGAGGTATACAATTCGAAACTGTTTACAGACATAAAGATGCTCAAATTCAGAATACAACTAAGAAGAGGCTCCTCTTTCTCTGCTCACCCATCATTGCCATTCAAAAGATCTTTCATCGGATGAAAAGTGATTCGATCAAACATGTTTTCACCCTCATAAATTTAACTAAATTTATAATTATTATTTTTAATTTAGGTAATTTTCAAAAAATTTAGTAATTTTGGCACATGTATTTATTAAAAAACAATTTAAAAATATTTTTATTCTAAAAAATTTGAAATAATTTATTGACTTAAAATATACTTTTATTTTTGTAAGATAAATTAATTTTGATTTTGATCTTTATAATTTTTTTTCATCTTTTAAAATTTTGTAAGCATTTTTTTGACCGACATAAAATGAATAAATTTATGATACCTAATGATTAGTTTAACATAAATAAGTAATATTTAATTTTAAAATTTACATGTTTCATACACTAATATGATATCAGAGATAATTGTAAGTATTAGTGTAGATATCATTTAATCTACTAATAACAAATGTATAAATAGCTAAAAATATTACATAACATCATAAGGATCGAATATAATGATTATAAATTTTAGAATGAAGAAAAATAAATATTTTTTTATGAATATTATAATCAAAACTTATTATTTTATGAAGACTAAACATTATATTCAAGTTAAAATATATTTATTTTAGTCACAATCTATAAAGTTATCTAAATGTCTTTTATATCCCTAACGTTAAATCCAATTTTTGAGCTAGTGTAAGAGGATTTGGAAGTGGGTTCCATGCTGTATTTCTTAGTTCTTACCCTTTAAACAACAAGGATTTGTACGGAAATAACGTGTTTCAAATTTGGATGACCAGAATTAGACGTGATAAAAAAAAATTTGGCTTGACCGTGTTTATAGTGGAATTTACGGATTCTTTTTATTCGAACTAGCACACGAGAAGTGTTTCAATTTAGGTATTTGACTTGTTTTTGTCAAATGAAATACAAAACGAGAGACGGAGTAGAAGGTTTCAATGATTGATTGTTTCCAAGTATTCATCAATGATTAACAGGTAATGATATTCATGCGCCTAAATTCTCAGATAAACAGAATGAACAATAGATATATTAGCAATACAAATCATGGTTCACTGTGCTTAACATTCAGGCATTACAGTACCAACAGTTCACAACTACGTAATTAAAAGAAACAAAGAAGACTACACTAATCCTAATCTTAAAAAGAGAAAAGCAATGTGGTCAAGAAATTAGTACCCAGCAAACGCGTGCACGGAAGCCATATGTGCAGGCAGAAAGTGCTTACAGAAGTGTGAGTATGAAATTTTCGACCTTTGTGAAAGGCTATGCTTCCCCTATTTATAGAGACTCTCGAGAGCAGTTATCTTTCGTATGCATGTGTCGTGGGCACGTAACTGCTATCCACTACGTAAAATACGTGGCTTAGAAAGTAACTTCATTTAACCGTTCCTCCTATGTGTTTTATTTCCTTGATCCGCGCTTTAATAACTACCTCGGTGCAACCATATGTAATCTTCGATAGCTTATCGATTTCTCCAAGAACGTCATTATTATCCTTAATACTTGAAATCAATTCTTTTCGATCTCGAGCATGGACACATAAGATTTCCTCTGTTACTGGTAGGTGTTATCTTTATATTCTTTTCGAGTAGTTCCATGTATATAAATTTTGACTCAATGTGGCCTTCAAGTAGGCTTAACAAATGCCCTCCTAGGAATTCAATCTGGTGAGCACTGCGATGAGAGATTTGAATTCCTAACGAGAACCATTTTTCGATCTTCCGTCGACTTGCTTAACCAGTGAGTGACTTTATATTTCTTCGATTAAAACCTACTCTGATTACCTATTTAATGCAAATGACCGTTTGATGTGACATTGATTACCTTGACGGCACGTGCTCACGTCACTCCATAAATTGGTTTTTTTAAAAAACGTCTTTGGCGGCTGTTATGAATATTCAAATTAAAATTTGAATTAATTTTCGGAAAACCCGTTTTACCTCAGGCCCATCAATCCGTTTAAAACTCCTTTTTTACCTTAGGGTAAAATCACTTCATCACTTTCTTTACATACAAGCTTCCTTTCATCTCCTTCTTGTGCTTTCTGGTTCGTTGCTCACCATTCTTGTTCTTCTTGATTTGGCACCTTTCTTTGCTTCTTAATACTATCATGGCTTCTTCTACCGCGTCTACTTTTGCCGCCGTAACCTCCATGGTTTCTCCTATCACTGCCTCTGCATCATCTCCTGTCCTGGCCACTGCAACGTCCCCTACCATAGTCACTGCAACGACCATGGCCACTACAACGACCATGGCCACTGCAACCTCTACTCAGATGGGTCCTTTACTGATGGCTAATGCCCAAGTCTACAAGGTCAAAGAAGGGGACGATACTTTCGTCCCTATTCCAGGCATGGAAGAGGAAAACCTAAAAATCTTCCAATCTCAGGTACTACTTCCCTTCTCTCTTGAGAATGGTAATATGCATGCTTTCTTAGGACCATTTATAGGTCAAAATAAGAAAAAATTTGGCAACACTTTATTACCTGAAGATACTTCTACTCTCCCCTTCATTCATTCTGTTGAGATAGACCTATCTCTGTTTGGAGATACCACTAAGATCTTTAGAGACTTTCCTCCCATCAAAGGCAGGCACTTGCAATGGTTAACCCGTATAGAAAGTGCAATGAGCTCTTCGTGGATAGAAACTGGTATTTTCGAATTTGTCCAACTTGCGAAATTTGAATTACACCTCTTCAACCCCCAAATGCTTCTCTTTGCCATTTTCTTCTGGAATCGAGAGACTCGAGCTTTTGAGTTCCCTTGCGGTTTTGTATGTCCTACTTTATTGGATATTGCAGCAATCACTGGTTTGGCTCCTATAGGAGACAGGTTTCACCCTGATGCTTTTGAGGAAGAGATTTCGATCAAGGAAACTTCCATTTCTTGGGACAAGAAGACTTACCTGGCTTTTATCAATGCTCACGTAGGAAAACCGGGTACCCCCGTTTCGACTTATGAGCATATTGCGTTCTTAATGTATTGGTTATTTGTGTGTGTATTCTGTACTCCCTCTCTTCAAGTCCCGAAATATTATTATGCTCTGGCTCAAGCTTTACATTTAAAGAAGAGAATCTGCTTGAGCAAAATCTTATTAGCTTCCTTATACACCTGTCTTGATGAAGCCTCAGAAAGCCTTTTTTGAGAATCTGGCCCTCGAAATCTCTCGGGACCCTTATGGTTGCTTCAATTGTGGCTCAACGCTATTTTCGAGAGAAAGCTTTCATTGATTTCATCATTTACTTCAACATGTGCACTAGAAGGAGCTCGTTTGACCACTCTCACTCCTCGAAAACGCTCCATCAATAACTTCGCAAAGTATATTGACGCTATCTTGAGTTTTACAATGTTCAGTGAAGATCTGGCTCCTTTTATACGCACTACGTTAACGGGCCCTTCTTGGCTTCGATAGAACAGTCAAGTAGGGCAAATATCCCACGATTCTCTCGAGATGTGGTTTGGTTTTCTTTCTTGGGATGTCATAATCTCGGGAATGCAGCAAAAGGATGTTAGAATTTACCCTTATCAGCCTCAGCTCTTTGCTTGACAATTTGGACTTTGTCAAATGAAACCTCTTCCTCTTCGACGTAAAGAGAGCATCGATGCTGATATTTGTGTTGAAGAAGGGAATTACCAAGAAGTTCTAGATTTTGTTCTCCGTCCTGACAAAGAACTTAAGCTCACACCATCTACTTTCTCTCCCTCCTTCTTAGTCTCAAGATGTTATCTTCGATGGTGGTGTGAATATTATGTAGATAAACTTGTCGATTTTGATGCTTTTTTGAAGAAGCTGATCAACTCTCCTCTTTCTTCGCAAGGACCGAAACAATCAGGTACTTTCAAGAACCAAACTATTATTTATCAATTCGAGCAGTTTTTTAAAGTTTGTTATCGGCCTGACAACATTGGTCGAACCATCTTTGACGCTTCTGTCTCTTTATCGAAAATGGTACAAAGGAACATCCGCTCGAAAAAGGTGATTAATCCTCGAGGGAAAACTGATTTTGAAAAATTTTGTCCTAAACATATACCCCCTCTTCCAAATGCTTTTTTTGGTCTAGTTAAACATTTATCTCGCCCTTCTTGGGTGAAGACTCTT